ATTGGAGCTCTCCTCCGCAGAGACCCCGAGGCTTGGCGAGGAGGCGGAGCAAGAAATCGCCGGGAGCGGTGAGAAAATGAATCGAATATTTTGATAGACACGCCACACACGACTGGATGAGCGCCTCTCGGCGCCGCGCGGGGCGTGGGGGTTGTTTGACCATACTTCACCGCACTGGTCAGTGCGGGGTAACAGGTCCTTGCAGGGTGGGCTGGTAGGAACATTGGAATTTTGCGCAATTTTATGACATTGTTACGTAAAATTGTGCAAATTGAGAGCGTCTTCCCACTTTTTTGCCCTCAAAATCGTTGAGGGTTCTTCGGACAAATTAACCTCTGTAGAGGAATGGAATGGTGAAATCCTTATTGACTGAAATCTGCTCATTTTGGAGCAATGTATCATAAAATTGTTAAGGGCTGGGCCGAAAAATGACAACAATTGCATTTAAAAAAAATGAGGATTTGTTTCCCGGTATACGGTAGTATGGGGCTTTAGACTCCGGATTATTAGCATTTCTGCTCGAAATCGAAACATGACCGGCTTATGGCCTTATACCTGTAAATTTGTGTTGAATATGTCATGACAAAACTGAGAGACAAGGCTTCGAGAGTCTTCGATAGTTCATTATTCCACTATGAAATACTATCTTGGATCACTAAACTACGATTGAGGTGGTGGTTGCATGTTGGATGGGGTTGGCGCAGTTGCGGCGCCTGCTGGGATTGGCTTTGGGTCGATGGCCTCTGCGATTTTGTCTCCGATTTTGTAAAGGGTTCCAGCAACAAATGCGGCCTCTGTTTCAGCAAGCAGCTTTTCAACGGTGGCATCCAAAAATCCGTCGGTGTCTTCGAAGTCGTTGTTGCTCATGGTGTTCATGTCTTGTACCGAGAAAAACTCAAAGTGCCGAATCCACAAGTGTGAGCACATTGTTGTGAAAGGAACTAAGTATACAGAAAAAATCCATTTGTAAAATATACAACACGGGATATTTCCTCTGCCTTTTGCAATAAAATGCACAAAGTGGTCGTCCATTTTATCCAATTTTATTCACTAAATGTTCAAGGGGGCGTCCATTTTATTCAATGTTATTAGCTGAAAATGTACCAAAGCTGTCTATTTACTCGAAGAATATTTGGCTCGGTTCCATGTAGATTTATTTGTCACCAGGAAAATAAACAAAATTTGAGTCAATAAGAATAGAATAGCCAAATCGTGAGCTATTTCTGGTAGTCTGTACTTCGTATGCCTTTTGGAATGAAATGAACAAAGGAGTCGTCTATTTTATCCTATTTTATTCACTAAAATGCACTGAATTGAATTGAGCTTACTTTTGACATCAATTGAATTGCGTTTGCTATAGACGTAATTTTTTTTTATTGAAATACATTTTAATTGAAATAAATTTTAAGATACAATGGCATGAAGAGGCTCAAATTTGCCCTTGAAATTAATACCCCTTAACATTTGGGTTTGATATTATTTTGTTTGATAATAATATCTGGATTTGTGCACACAATACAAAATAATGAACCCGTCACATTTAATAGATGACAGCTCGGGTCTCTTCAAGCTCTCACGGACTCTTGTAGGAATATTTCGCCCTGTCAGCGCGGATGACGGGTGTTCCGCAAGCTGCTGGCAGGATGAATGTGGGAAGGGCTTGCACTGTGGAATTCGGGACTGAGAAAGGCGTCAGTGAATTTGCCACAGCCCCAAAAGCGAAGTTCGCAAGTGAGATAATGTGACTTCCAAATGTTGGGTGCAATAAGACATATCAAGTCTCTGCGCTGTCTTTTGCTGATTTGACACCCAACAGCACGAGATTTGACTTCGTTGAAGTATTGTGACACCCAACAGCACGAGATTTCACTTCTTATGAAAGGGAACGGACGGACGGACGCATTAATCTATTGCAGGCTGGTACACTCAGTTACAACTTCGTTCCTACCAGTAAAAGGTGGGCAGCATATACGTGGATGCATTGAAGTACAGAACGATTGTTTACGTAGCCCCGCAGCAGCCTATAGCACCTGTTTGTGCGTAGTAGTGGTCGCCCATACAAGCCCTATCCAGATTGAACCCTGCTTAGCTCCCTGATCTGATGGGATTGGACTCGTATTCTTCATCAGCTGCATTGACGATTGAACCTCGCCATCAATAGGTCATCCCTAACAGTTCATCATACTCATCCTCGAAATTATGTTTTTCCATAACGCTTGTTTACCCAATAATCAATTTTTTTCAGGCCAGTCCTACCACGTTTTTGCAGTCTGTGGGGGTGATGATTGCCATGATTCCAATCGCGGGTACTTTTTTTACGTCACAAATTTGGAGAAAAACGTCGGCACGCACAATGGCTTCATGCTTGCGAATGACGCCACGGGGATCTTGGATGCGAAGCAGACTGCGTGTTTAAAAATGCATTCTAATCTATTGTAGTTGATACTCCAGAGGTGTATAATTATCGGGACGTCCGCAGGAATCGAAACGTAAATCCTCTGCAACGTGGAGCGGACGCGGAATCGCCGCCGATTATCATCATGGCACACACACACACGCGATCATACGCTTTGATTTTTTTTTAGGGAAAGGGGTTGGTGGATCACGCCGATTTTTCCAGTCCTAAATCGGCTCGACTCCCGAGGATGCAAGGAGATGCCTGTGCAGATACAGAAAAAAACCCACACGTTATCCTCGTGTTACGCGTTGTTTTCTCCCAGTATTCCTTTCACGTGAAGCCAAACTTCATGCGATTTGCAAAACGTCCCAACGCACCAGAACCCTCCTGACAAGTAATCTCGAGACTGAATGTGACTTTCCTGCGTAATTAGCATTATTTGTCACGTGGCCATTAAATGTGGTGTATTTTTACGTTTTTAAAGTCCAAGTTGTGTCACTTCAGGTGAGCTACCAGCAGAGGGCAGTGTGCAGAAAAAGGATTTGAATCATGTACACGGAGCTTTGTGAGTAGCGTGTTTACCTCCCGCTTGGGTGGCTTTTCTCATGGTCCATGTGACACAAATATGGTCAAGAGCCACGGCCCATTGGAGGCGAACCTTACTGACAAAATTCCATCTTGCGTCTCTCGACCATACTAATAAAAAAACACACTTGAGTCCATCAACCTATCTACCTTTTTGGATGAATGCTATCCACGCAGGAGCATCAGCAGCCATGATCAATTTACGACTTGATGAAGGCCTCCCCAAGCCATTACAGGTCCGCGAGCGATGTTCAATGTAACAACGCATAGAGCCACGTGCGCACGAGCCGATGTAATCGCTCCATCTGCGCGATTGAAGTTCTCTTTTGAGATGTTCCTCTTCTTTGGCTGTAACTCCTTAATTGATCTCGACCATCGGTAATTCAAATATTATTACTGCAATTACAAAGTGGAATGACCTTCCCGCAGGGAGCGCCCGTGGATGATCCGTGGACCGAGTGGGTGTGCGTGCAGATCGAGTCGGCCGTGGAACACGAGCTGGTGGAGGAAGGAGGTCACGTCCCAGACCCAATCTTCATGCTCTAGGCCAGTGTTTTTCTCTAATTTTCAGAGGTGGGGGAGGGGGGGGGCTACTTTCGCCAATAACACATCAGTGTGATGGTCGCCACGTATTTAAAATTATTGTGATTTGACAGCACGATGAACATTTTTCAAATTTGTATTGTCGGGGGCTGCCCGTTAGGGGCCACACTAAAGGCCATCAGGGGCCACCAGTGGCCCGCGGGACTTGCAATGAAGAACACTGCTCTAGGCAATCATCGGCACCCTCACCGGTTGCATTCAATAATCGATTATTACGAGGGCTTCTGCACACCGGTATGATTATTTGACCATACTTCACCATTCCGATCAGTGTGGTTTGCAGGCATGGACCAAACGTGGCGATCATAAAAGTGCAGTAGAACAGTGGATATGCTGCATGTAGCCCCAAAGCCTTTAACAAGCTGGTATGACCACCTATTTATCACTATCCAGCTCAAGTCTGCTTGGCTTCCGAGATCGGGTACATTCCGGGTGATTGTCACAGGTGGCATTAATATACATGGTAGATATTTAATTACATTACTGCAAGGTAGACCTTATAAATGCCACATGAGCAGACGGCCATAGTAGGCATACAATAATACGCGAGGTTTTTTACGTAAGTTTTTTCTGTAAACGTAATGACGATCTGTACAAAATCGGAAAGCGTCTTATAATGTCATGTACGTTGATGTGCTCAATTAAAAGCACACCAGGGTACAATATATGTACAGTACAACGATGGACTGCAGATTTGGGGCCTGCAATCGAATGAAGTTTCAAACTAGTATTATATATTTTTTATTTTCGTGAACGGCATCTGCAGCATCTGGTTTAAGTACGGCAGCGCTGACGACAATTTCACACATGAGTGGCCACTCTTATCCTTGGTTAGTTTATAACATGGAACACACAAGCCCGAATGACTGCCACCAGAAATGTGTGACCTTGTAAAGTGAGCGGTATATTACAACACAACATCGCGATAGCATGTGCAAAAAAATATATACTGTTTATACGTATATCACAGCGAAATTGCTTTTTCTCAGGCCAAGCAAATGTGTGGAAGCAGACAAGCGAGCGAATGAAGTTGTGTATGCACGATGAATTATCCTCCACCCCATTAGACACTTTACACACATTACTCAATCAAGGTACAACGAAGCAGAAAGAAAAACAAACCAACCTACTTTTCGTTACTCTGTTAAAAGGAATAAACACTTTGCATAACTATTTCAAGAGCGTTTATTTGCGTGGCACATCACGGATGATTCGCGGTAACTGCAGCAAGAGGACGAACTAGCGCGCTGCGGCAAACACGATGCTGCAAAGGGATCCGCCGGTGCACTTTGAAGTTGCTAGGCGAGCGCGAGAGGAATCTTCGAGGACCTAATAAACGCTTGCCTTTTATCACAAACTCTATTGGTGGCGGTGGTATTTTATGGTCGGAATGAAAGAAAGTTAAGTCCCGAGCAGTGCACATATCAGACCAACTGTTGTAAAATGGGACTCCAGACATCGATGACCAACTCTCACCAGAGGATCAGTCTGCGAACTGTGCTGTGGCCATCAGATGCATTCACTCAATGGATGGCTGACCTCTTAATACAAAACCCACGTCTTTTGCAGGCAATGACCGTCGATTCCAGTGGCATTTAAACAGGCCTTAATTTCAGCCAGATGTCCTCTGGTCAGCGACCCGTTAAATATTTGTCCAACCACCACATCACATCCGATAGATCTCTATGGTTGGAAAGTCGCATACCAATTCGGTGTACCAGCTAGAAATGAAGCCCTGCTTGTATTTCAAGCCTTTGTCGTGCTACTTCCTCCTCAATCGAGACCCCAGTTGGTGAAGATGGCTCTCGGCTCGTATCACTTGACCCGCTTCATGGCAGTCAATCAACGTGTCCGTTATGCTGTGCGTCTGTCGATGAGCCTTAACAAGGGTGAAAGTGGCAAGCAGTTGTTCATGCTGCTATTCTGCCACGAATTATAACGGTGGCCACATTTCCAACATTTCTGGGCAAAAAACGGATTCGCACTACTGCGAGGACTCCAGTTGATGTGTAGAGCAGTTGTGGGTTTTCCCACAATGTTGCAGCATAATTTTTTTTGTTTACTTAGTCAGATACTATTCGACAACCACCGACACCTGCTGACTGGCAAGCACGTGTCACGAAGTATGCTGGACATCGGAGGCATGCAAAGGTCCTTAAGCACTGAAGCCGAGACACAAATCTGAGCAATCAACACTGGTTATGGACACTGCTCTCCATAGCAGAGAGACCATATCCTTGGCACCAAATGCTGATTGACACTGGTGGGTGGAGGGCAGGTGTGTTGGCACACGATCCATTGTCGCCTCATGATACGTAGGCCACATCATCTGGACAAAGCGTGGACTGTGGACAGGCGAGCGTGCCATGTAAAACGGAACACCTGTGCACAGCAACGATGCACTTTTTTTGTTTGAGCACCGTAAATTGTGTATTCAGGCATCGTGGACACTGTATTCCTGTCACAGAGCTTCGCGTATGAAAACGACTGACTGTACATACTTGAGTTTGTGCTGCCAAAGGACCCTGATTAGAAATACTCCAGCCCCCCACGCCCCCATGCATAAAATCATAGCTACAAAAAAGTTTACTGTTGGGTTAAGGTAAATAGTAGTAAGGAAAATAGGATATTAACAAGTGATTTCACCCTACAGCCGCAGTAAACAAGAGAATGCAAGTTAACTAAGTGTAAAACGAGAAATTAAAAACATAACATTTACACACAAAGATTCTGCAACTGAAATTAGGGCACGAATGAGTCGCCACGCTCTAACTCCTCTTGCAAATGTACGTCACCACTCACCTGAACAAACTCGCTTGCCTTGCAATAACCGTTTAGGTCGGCACGGAACCTTTATTACTGTCAAGATAAAAATAAGTTTCCTTCGCACGCATGTACTGCTTTTCAATAATTAATACTGAAAATGGAGCCAGACTTCAACGGGTTAATTTTTTAATTAATTAAAAGGGTTTTGATTAAAGGATTCATGACCGAGACGCGGTCGAAAAGCCAGTGGTAGCTACACAACGCCAGGGTTAAACTTTGCGAGTGGTGAATTATTGAAGCTTGCAAGGGCTCGGCTTTCAAGGTGGGTGGTGGGGGGAGGGATGGTGGGGTTGAAATTGGGGGGGGGGGGGGGAGCAAAGAAATTATCACCTACAAACTGTACATATGGGGAAAACTCCACCAGCAAAGTGAGGGGAGTTCACAGTAAAAGCAATTCATACAGCTGTGGAGCAGCATGACCGCATTACAATGCCGTCGTGTTAAATTTGGGCTTGCCGGATGACGTTATCCTCTTTCGGCAAAAGTGTGTCACTGCCACTTACAAGGATCGTGGGTGGGGGGGGCTTTTAAAAGTCTTTCTTGTAGGCCCTTCTTTGTCGTTCCCTCTAGCACCGCCTGGGTCCCCTCGGCACACGTCCAAAAGAGCTTCAGTTTTCAAAATTCGAGTGCAATCTGTTTCGGTATAAACAAGATGACGCCTTCCAGTGTGGAGAAAGATGTCATCGCAAAAGTCCCCCATTTGGAACACCGAAGTGCTGTTACCTCCCTTAGGACCGCTGGGTGACCACCTTTCTCCAGGGCAGCCGGCCGCGGGCAGGCGAGTGTGGGTGGGGTGGTAGGTGGTGGGGAGTGGGGGGAAATAAAATGACACTTTCGGTGAGTTCTTCATTGAGCGTGGAGACGAAACCCCAACGATCGCTGGTCAGAATTTGGCCCCTCAGGGCTGCGAGGAAGAGGAGTGCTGGCAGCCAGAGGCGCTGGGAGTGGGAGAAAGGGAGCAGATCACATGGCCTCGGGTGAGGTGGACAGGTATTCCTCGGCACGCCTGTGCACCTCCAATGCCCGCATGGTTGACATGTCCTGGGGAAGCTCAGACTTCCTCCGCAGAAGCACCTTCTTCCCTTCGCCTTTCGAGTTCTGCACATCGCCAGCACACACAACGTGAGTGCAGGGAGATACGGTCATTAAAGTGGAATCCTTTTAACTTTTAATCAGGATGTCATATCCTAACGAGTGAAATGGATTAGAGAAGGACAACTGGGCATAAACGTTATTTCGCAAAATAAAATATTTTATTGGGCATACAACTTGGTTCACATTTTATACACACATACAAGCATTTGTTAAATTAATCGTTTATAAACATGGGAGGTAGGGGGGAGGGGGCTGGCTTTCATTTCTCTGCCCGAGTCAAAGGCACAGATGTACAAAAATGACGCATTAACCACTGCACCGCTTGCGGAAGCACAAAACGCGACTACAAAGCGTGCGGAAGCGGGCTGGTCATGCATGGCCCTTTAGGACCGACTGTGCCGGACAGTGCGCCCATAAGAGGGCTTTTTGCCAGAACGCTGCACACCTGCACCTGCACCGCCTCGGTCTCCATGCTTTTCTTGAGCAGCATGATGTCTTCTGAGGACGGGGTACCAGTCTCCATGGACACAACCGCACCGTTCAGGTCCTGCGCCGGATCACAACGGGCTAAGGTTGACATCTGTGTTCGGCAGGACCCCCCCCCACCGCACCTGCCCTCGTGCTTGCCCAAAGTGCATAATTAATTATTAACTCGCTCGCCCACGCCGTAGAAACACCATTCGGCACCTACGGACATGGGAGTTGGGCAATGTAAAGGCGTATTTTTCGGAATTTGTTCATTGGTTCAAAAGCAAATGCAGAAAAAACACCCAACAATAACACATTTAAATTCAGGGGAGCGAGGTGGCTGAGAAGTGAGAGCATGGAACCAGAACTGCCGAAATCCTGGATTTGAATCCAAGCAACCACCCAGATTTAAATTGGGTTTTGGAGTGGAATGAGTTGATGGTCTCAGCTCAGTCACCCATTGAACGCACCCAAATAACATTTAATGTAACACTTAATTTGGCTAAATTCCAGCTTTGAGAATAAAAAATCAGTTTCACTGTCATCATACACAAACCAATCTCGCAGAAAAGTGCACGGATTTTGCACATTCTTTTCCATGTTCTTTGTGATCCAAGTGTTATGCCAGGCAATATGCACAGAATATAATTGTTTTGTAGACACTCATCTCTAGTTCATTATTTTGATCCCTTTTCACCTTCAATAATTGCCCTTGATACACACTTAGATTTCCCAGATGTCTCCCTCTAATATTTCTCCAGTTTAAATAAAAGATTGATCCAGTTTAAACAGCGACTTTGATTCAATGATTATTTCCTCTTGTTCAGTGAACTTTTTTCATGGCTTTTGTTTTGCTCATTTATCTTTCGCCCCACTTTGCAGCCTTCTTTGGTATTTCTTCAATAATTTCCTGTATTACTTTACTTTTGGTTGTTATAATGACGATGTCATTAGGGAATCTGAGATGGCTATTTTTTCTACAATTTATCAAATCTAATTTTCAGAAAATGTGTGAGTGGATTTGTGAATAGCCTTGTTTGACTCACCTTCCACTATGAATTTTGTTACTTCCTTCATCAAAATATCAGTGTAGGTTGTTAATATTTTGTACATTGTTTTTATTTCCAAACATGTTATATTTAATGTAGGCCTTGATTCGAGAACTTAAATGAGTATCAATTTTCATTGCGTCAAGTACTTCTTTCAGTCTACAAAGGCCAAGCACAATGGTAAATGATATTAATTAATTTTCAATTTAAAATCTAACATATACATAGGTTTTATAATTTTGCTCCAATATCTGGTCCCGCTTCTTTGATGGTGTCTACAGTTATACCATGGTTTGCTGCTTTGCAAGACCATGAGATATAGCCATGGCTTGGAAAGGCCTTAATTCAGCAGTGGATAGATCGTGTCTGTGGATGATTGAACAAGGTAGCAACAATGCTTCGCAGAGACAGAATCATAAAACCAGGAAATCGTAACACATGACCCAGCGGGAAGCACATTCGCCACTCGTTACAGAGGTTCACGGTTCGAATCCGTCGGCCGCCCTCGTTATTACTGCGGTGTGCATCAACCATAAAAATAAGTGCCATCGACTTCAGAGTGGATGTAAAAAGAATCCTTGACATTATTCGCAAGAATGTGTGCCGGCATTCAAAGGGGTCAAATTATTACATTTACCAAAAGATTTCTCACTGGGATTATACGTAGCAATCTTCACTTCCTAGCGGGGAAAAGTTGGTTAGACCCTCCTGAAAACAAGTCATGAGACTCCATGAGGTTTCCTTCGGTAATCAGGCCTAGTAAAAAGCCAAATGAAACTCAATGTATAAATAAATAAACACTTTAACTCTTATTCTTAGCGCTTTCGGTAAAGTCACGTTGAAGAGAAACAATAAAATATATATAAAACAATAACAATTCTCACGACGTTTCGACCATAACACAACGGACCTGGATCTTGTGTTTATTCAAGATTTTGGAGATCTTTTTTGTGATCCCCGCAATGTAGGGTAAAGTGATCTGGTTCCGTCTGTAAAAGATGTGATTCCGGACATACAGTACCCTGGTGTCTACAAACTAAGTTGCCTCTGTGGTAGTAGTTACATTGGAGAAACCAAACGCCATGTCTCGGACCGCATTTGTGAACACAAAGCAGACCTTAAACACGGTAGGACCAACACCTCGGCCGTGGCAGATCATTGTTATAATTCAGTAGGCTCACAAGACATTGACTTTTCCAAGACAGAGGTTCTTTGTAAGCCAATTGGCTACCATGAGTGATTCGTTCATGAGGCTATCCACAAATACAAGCACAGAGACAATTTCAACCGAGAAGATCGATTCTGGCTTAGCAGTCATTGGAAAGATTTGATTAACCATTTCAGGTCTTAATTGATTGCTCACGCTTACAGTGGCTTTCAGACAGCATACATTAATTTTTTCGTCTCCCCCCTCCTCTTTTCAGAACATAGATGGACTAGTCCTTCTAAATAAACTTCCAAATCGCTGCGCGTGGCGCTGACCTTTTTATAAATAAATAAATACACCGTAATAAAATAAATTAATGCAAACCGACATACCTGATGACGACCGTTTGTGTTATGGTCGAAACGTCGCGATAATTTTATTGGTTTATATATATTTTATTGTTTCCCTTCAACGTGACTTTACCGAAAGAGCTAAGAATATGAATTACTGCAGTCACGAAAGCTTTAAATCAAAACTTTAACTCTTGCAACAAATTATACCTGAGGATTCGATTTGGCGAGAATTTCTATCTTGTACCAGGCTTCTTCCCTCTCTTTAAACTTCATTTTCTCTCTGCAAAACCACAAATGTTAAGTGTTAACAGTAACAGGAAAATGCACAGTCCTTGCTACTAAGCCTTTACATTTTTTATGTTTTACAAGAGACGCATGGTCCTGCTTGGCCTGTCGAGTTTATAGTTTTAGACAATGGTTATTACGAAAATATAAGGTAGTACTGTATTTAAAGTCACGTGTCAATCCACTGCTGGATGAGGGTCTCTCCACACTGCGGGCCGTGAGGTTATTGACCATACTTCACCACGCTAGTCAAGGTGGCGTTGCATAGATGAGTGCAGAGAAAAGTACAATTGATATTGCTGCACTGCCCTCTGCTGCCCACAATAGCAGCCTGGAAAGAGCCAACACTAACAATCAAACATAATACCGTAAAAATATTTTGAAATCACCCCATCACAGAGATGCAAAAAAAACATGACTACATATCACCGTGACCTGTTGTTATATTTACTGGATGCGTTATCAGTTGTTCCCAAAAGCCAATAGTGGTGTGTGCCAACCGATAAAATTCTGCAAGGGGCGGGTAGTGTCATATAGCAGTGTAAATAAACTCCGAGTAATCACTCACGGCACACTTACTTTTGCCTTTCCGCTTTGTACTGCTGAGTGCAGTCATCAAACAGCTTTTGGTTCATCTCCATGAAAAGCTTCAGCGCATTATAAATCAACCCGTGGATGGTCCTGAAAATCAGTGTATTGCACAGAGCACTTCGTCAAAACAAACAAACCGAGCAACACCACTGACGAAACCTGACATTTTAGTATTGTTTGTTCAACTACTAGAAGGTAAAACATAATGTGCATCTTGTACAATAGAAACAGCATGAATAGGAATGAATGAACACAAGTTTACAATGCCCTAAGAAAAATGTAAATATTGAGTTGTCTGCTTTGCCCAACTGCAAGAAAGAGATCCAAGCCTAAAAATGCAAGGGTTTAATTTAAGAATAAGGACTTAAGGTGCCTAAAATGCCACATTCCCTCAAAGCACCCTACTAAAAAATATAACATAAAAACACGATTTTCACAGGGGAAAAAAAGACAACAAAATTAAGCCGCTTCCCTAAACAGGCATCAGTGGTGACCTATCATACCAGCCAGATAAACTGGTTATGAGACAATGTCCACTACACAAACAATCGGCAGCGATTGAATTAACGGCCCTGGCCACACCCAGTGGGGATTTTACTGAAATACCTGCACTACCTCATCGCTGTGCACTCTGCACTAAACACTGACCCCCATGGACATTGACCATATTCTCAACTTACCCTATTTTGGGGTTTCATGGCACCCAAAGGCACAGCAAAGTGGCTCATTTGCTTAAATTCATTTTTCCAAACTGTGCAACCAAAAGGCTGTAAAAAAAGTTAATCGGAGAGTGAACGGCTCATTACTGCTTTAGCCTCACGAGCTCACCTTGTGCACTTATTACGTGAATATACAAATGTAAGTCATTGGCTACGAAACGCGTTGTTAAAGAAAAGCTTTAAAAAATTCTTACAACTATTTGAACGGTTGGTTGTATGCACAACAGCGAACCCTTAAAGGCGTATAAAGTGTTTCAAGAGCCACTTCCAAGCACAAGAAGTGTGTATGATTTCCCAAACTATAAAATGGAGAGCGCAATTTATGAATTCTGGGGGTTTGCCGGTCTCTTAAAATTAGTTAGTCATACAAATGATGGCCAATTTGTTGACTCCAGTATATAACATTTCTTTGAAAAAACTATTTGTATGAAGACCAAATTTACATCATTTAGAGCTTATAATGTTCTGTATGTTGCCTTTTTACATTATATGTAAAAAAGGCTAGAAAAACAAGAGTTAAAACAGGAAAAATAGCAAGCCCATTTCAAAACACAACCCAATGGTACAGTAGTTACTGGACTGTAGGGTACGAAACTTGAAATGCCTGGCACGTGACATTCCTGTGCAGCATGGAGACGAAGCCTAACAACAAGCCAGCATTGCTTTGCACGAGGTTACATTTTTGACTTTTGAGAGTGCGATTTAAAATTAATTTTGTGGGTCGCACAAAAACACCCCATTGCAGTATATGGGACCACCTTCTTTCAGGGACACACCGTTCTGATATGACCTTTTTTTAGTTTGCGGTCAGAAATTATACCGAGAGCCGAGACAATCTTCATCGGTCATAAATGTGACACTGGTTAAAGCAATAGGGCAAAGGTGCAGCCCTGCAATGTATTGCTCATTGCACTGCTGGCAGAAGGGCCTGTGCTGGAGATAGCATCCCTCATCAAGAGGGTATTTGGTCAACTCTTCCACAGTGACTAGAAATATCTTGGGAGAGGTAGGAGCACCCAGACTTTATACCCCACCACACGTGACCCACTCATCGAATGTGAAGTACCAATTTATAAAGAGTGGTGGTAGTTTAAGAAAGTTGGTCCATTATTTTAAATGCCACGCGAGGAGGTCGAAACAGCCACCTCTGGGTCGAAAGTCCAAATGACACTGGTACAACGATAACGTGAGCAGTCGGTCGCCGACTGCGAAGACATCGGGCCGTGAAGGCAGATCTTACTTGTTCCAATGGGACTTTGAGTTGCGGTAGAGGGCGGGGAACATGATGGGCAGGATCTTGGCGGCGTTGTCGCTCACGAGGCTCATGATGTACTCGTTGTTCCAGTAGTAGAGGGCGCGTTCCGCCACCTCAACATCAAACGCACAAGTGGTGCGGAAGAGTTTGCGCGTCTCTTTCGAGGGAACAGGCATGACTTCTTCCACAAATCGCTTCTCCTTTTTGTTGAAACCCGTTTGCCGCTCCGTTATTAACGCAAGACATCAACTGTCTAACAAGCGCAAAAGGTATCAGTCCATCAAAATAGAACATTTCCTTTAGCCCGACACCAGTTTTTTTTAATGCATATCTGCGCTTGAATTTCAATGTGCGTGCAAACAATACTTCATTTGAGCATCGCATCATGTTTGTATGCACTCAGGAGCGTGTTGAACCCCTTACGTTTTTTTAATTGCAAAAGAAGCTCGGCTCAACAAATGATGCTCACGAGACTCAACAACGACACATTAAACGCAAAGTAAACGCGATGCGAATATATCAATGGCTAAATTGCATTCAATGTTCCATTTCGCAATAGAGAGAGAAATTGTAACCTTTGAACATGCTCCTCATGCCCATTGCATCCAATATCCACTGGCTCACCTGGAAGTGTGGGCTGGACACGCACTTGGCCAGCTGGCGGAACAGAGGCTCCATGACCTTTACAAACTCTGATGGCTCAATGACATCCAAAATCTCCTCCAGCTCATTGAGAAACATCACCTCCTTGGGACTGTGGGTCTTGGGCCAGTACTTCAGCAGGCCCATTACAACCTACCAGGAGAACAGGGTTTAGAGCAGCGTTGGTCAATTGGCATCTCTCCCGAGCCGCACGCAACTCTTAAATCCACCACATGCGACTATCAAAGGTGCATAACATAGAACATACTATCACAGTAGCAAAGAATAATGAATGAAAGTTGTACAGTCTGTTCTCCTATAACGCCGCGTGTTTCATGAAGCAAATTGGATATAATGCGATGAAAGTATTGGGAAACACATTTTTGTATAAAGTGGATGCGAACTGGATATAACGTGTTTGTGTGAACATAACTACGTAGCGCGAGTAAGAATAAGCGGTTGTACGGCTGCCTCAGCGTAGCATCACACAAGGCGGGACGCTGCTGGATGCTTGCAGATGCTACCCAGCCTGCATACGCATTTCACGTGTTATCGCAGACTGTGCTTTACCCTAAATTGTTGATTATAACGCGATTTTTCCATAACGTGGTGTTCTTCAGGAACGCAACTACCGCGTTATAGGAGAACAAACTGTATGATATATTATACATACACTTGGGTCTTTGCAGAACTTATGGGTACATTTTGGCTCTTGGTCTATTACAAGTTGGCCACCCCTGGTTTAGAGCAACCGTGTCTTTTCATATCACAGTTAATCTATGGAGGTTCCACTGTACACACAGTTGTTCCCATCCAGCACTGACAAGTCAGCGAGTCCAGCATATGTTGGTGTAGTGGGTACATTTTTCAGGGATTATTTGCCGTAAAATTCCCCACTCTCGAGGTGTAAACGTGGCCTCTGTATAAACTCCCCCAATGAGATTCAACTGAGTCACCGTTCGTGCATGGGTATGCATAAAATAAGAGCGGTAACGGCCAGTCTTGAAAGTTTTTATCTACCCTTTTAAATGTTATAAAAACAACACCGCTCCTTGTGTTTGGGTACTTATTTTCCAGACCACCAGACGCAACGGTTCAGTATTGTTGTTGACTTTGCTGAGCACACTTACCGGTTCTGTGAGCGTGCTGTCCTTCTCTAAAAACTGGACGACACAGTAAGCAAGCTGGGAACAACAACACATTTCAAACGTCAGGTAAAATTGTTAAACTTTTCGTATTTTCTGCAAAAGACGCAGTGTCAAGTCGTGGTGCAAGACAATTATCACTGTCCATACCTGTGGGTGGTAGACACTCAGGGACTTGACTTTATGCAGAGGCAGCAGCACCTTCAGCAGAAACACCTTGTGCTCCTCTTTAAGCGGCAGTGCAAAGCCATTGATTATACTGCAAAGACACAATGATAGCCTCCGTTAGGGATTTTACAGGAAGGCTGCAGTCCCTTTCAAGCTTTCACAAAGGAAAAGCTTCAGACGGCCAAGAGTGAATCGAGGGACCTTACCTTCCTAATATTTCGAGGAGTTCTGCAATGCCGTTGTGATGCTCGGTTTCATAAATAAACCTGTAAGGGCAAAAAGCAGACAACACCAATACAGCACAAACGTCAAACCACTCATGTGTAAAAAAAATATACATATAATATAAATGAACAATTATTTATAAATGGTTTATAAAAAACAGCAACAATTTTTGCAATTTTTAGAAAACAATGTTGGCATGCAGGACATTATATTCCTTAATATTGAATAGTTTCAATAAATGATTTGCTATTTATCATTCTTAATTTGTGTTGTAATTCTTTTCAGTGTTTTTTATGTCGTTAAGGTGCACTTATTTAAACCAGAGAACTGGTCTCTATGGGATATTTTATGTACATGTACAGACTTTTTGTCTAATAATTTTTGAATGAGGGCCTCCCCCCATGCCATGTGGGTCATCATGAGGGTTGTTTGACCATGCTGGTGAGCGCAGGTTGGTGAAAGCAGCGAGCACACACATTGGAGCAAAGTAAAACAAGACATTTTGTGTGCGCCTTCAACTGCTGACATTATAATGTAGCCCCGAAAGCATCCTACGACACCAGTTTAATGCACGACGATCATGCATCCAAGCACTCTCCAGCCTCAAACCTGCTTAGCTTCCAAGATCTGACATGACTTGGGTGCATTGCCGGGTGATTTGGTGATAGGCTTCCAATGGGCTCTGACCAGGTTAACATAAATGTCATCTGCATCCAAAACAAAGCGTGAAAGTAAACCTTAAAATGAATCCCATGTAAATCGTTCTCACTGCTGACCTGTAGAATATGTTGTTGATCTGCTTTCGGATGTACGCTCGGAGTCCCAGGAACTTCCCGTAGATGCGGTGCAGCGTGGTTTTCAGAAAATCTCTCTCACGTGGGTCTTCACTGTCAAACAACTCCAGCAGCTGCATGCAGAAAATGCGCAAGTCGGGTGTGAAGCACGAAGGGCCCTGCTGTGAACCTTCGCCGTTGTGAGTGGCCGGAAAATGTCGTACAGGCTTCGGGGATCAAAAGTGCCCGCAGACCATCCAGCGCAAATGGAAAAATCGCGCACGGCGTTTGTGAAATTTAAAGATCCATTCTCTTACAATGCCCAACGGAAAACCATCATGTTTTTTGTTACTATTAGTCACTTGAAATTATTTTGCCAACAGCAGATGAGATATTGTACATGTACAGCCCCCCTTTGTCAATCCACTGTCAGATGTGAGCCTCTCCCTGCTGTCCAGGTAATGGAGCTTATTTAACCATAATTCACCACGGCAGTCATTAAACTGCGGGTTTGTGATGGCGAGCAGCATGAAATGTTGCGATTCTAGTTTCAGTACGATACATTTTTAGTTCTAGTTTCAGTACGATACATTTTTCTTAACTGCCCTCTGCCGACAGCATAGCCCTGCAGCAGCCTACCACACCTGGCAATTCCCCATCCAAGCTCAACCCAGGTTAACTTCTGAGATTTCACAAGATCGGGTGCATTCCAGAACATTTGGCTGCCACGACTTGATATGCAATAAAGCCAATTGCCCAAAATATCGCCTATTTTATATATGTTCCATTGTAAAGCAAAATTATTGACGAATGACTTGATATTATCTAAAAGTAGATGAGATATAAGCACTGCGTATATATACGTATAAAATGTATGTACACAATTCTATCACCTTCAAGTTATTATCATTTTGGCTTCGATTCACCTGGCCTACAGGAGTCGTACTGTCTAACAAAGCAGAGAAAGCCTCACGATCTCACCTGCAACACAAACTTCTGATCGATGTACTTTTTTGCGACGTTTGGCTGGAAGTCAGGGGACTCCAGAAACCGTAAGAAGAATTCATACACCAGCTGCAAACAAGAAAGGAACCCAATCAGAGTTGGTATATATTAACTGCAATATCTGCTTGCTGGTCACGCTTTCCACGCAAACAGTCAAAATAGGCATGAGCACTGTATCGCATATTTCATAAGTATGGGTTGTATTATCTGTACCACGCTTGTAGAGCAAGGATCGCAAGGATCATTGTGCAATGGGTGGGGAGCACACATTTAACCGTGACCCTGCGGATATCAACAGCATCCTGTAACTCAAACTGAAATTATTAATATAAAACGACCGAGGCCAGTAATGGAAACTGAAAAATGTGAAACAGTGAAAACAGAAAACATCTAAGTACCAACAACTGGAAAACTCAAACACTGGAACATCACTTGAAAACTGGCACTAATTATAAGTGAATATGACTGAAGATGATGTTTCATGGGAAATTTTTGCCAGTATGAAAATATGAAAAATAAAAATAGGTTTTCCCCTTTTTTCTGGCAACAAAATAGGTGTTTTATTGTTTCCCTTCTACGTGACTTTACCGAAAGAACCAAGAATATAGGTGTTAAGATGTTAGAACACCAAACTGAAACCTTTTACAAGGAATCATGTCTGCATTAATCACAATACTTGTGGTCAGAATGCAAACAAAAAACACTCCGATAATATATACATTGTCCTTGAAATTGATTGGTCCACACCAGAGACAGCTTTCTTTTGAGCCTCGTCTCAAAACGGTGTTAGACGAGAGGACGCCAAAAGGCGTACAGCACAAAGACAATGCCACTATCAGAGTAATGAGAGCTTGGGATGAGCAGCTACATCATGGGACCTCCTTTGCCAGTACCAAAATGAGAAAAGGTTTTCCCCTTTTATCTGGCAACCTATTCTCATATTTTGGTACTGGCAAAGGAGGTCCCATGATGTAGCTACTCACCCCCGAGCTCTCATTACTCTGATAGTGGCATTGTCTTTGTGCTGTGTACGCCTTTTGGCGTCCTCTGGTCTCACACCGTTTTGAGACTAGGCAAAAAAAAAGCTGTCTCTGGCGTGGACCAATCAGTTTCAAAGACAATGCATATATTATCAGAGCATGTGTTTTGTTTGTGGTTAATGCAGACATGATTCCTTGTAAAAGGTTTCAGTTTGGTGTTCTAACATCTTAACACCTGTTTTGTTGCAAAAGAAAAGGGGAAAATCTATTCTCATAATTTGGTACTGGCAAAGGAGGTCCCATGAAGAATAGGTTTTACCTTTTCTGAAAATAAAACAGGTGTTAAGATGTTCAAACACCAAATAGGTACCTTTTGCAAGGTATCAAGTCTGCATTAGCCACACGTACTTGTGGTGAAAATGCAAACATGCTGTGATAATATATGTACTGTCTTTCAAACTGATTGGCCTACACCGGAGAGAGCCTTCTTGATGGCCTAGTCTCAGTACAAAGAATGCACGTATCAGAGCATTCATAGAAGACTAGCTTCACTACCCGGCTTCGCCCGGGACTTGGATCCATCACGCCCGGCCGCCTTTGTCTCCCCAGTGGCGATGTTCACACACCACACCAGTTACTCGTTTGAGGCTGAGTCGACCTAGGGGAGGCCCAGGACCGGTTCAAATAATCGTCACCGGTGGTGGCCGTGAGCGGGAATCGAACTCGGTTCGCCGGGTTCGTAGCGCGGCGCGCTAACCACTACACTACAATGCGTTACGCTTCCACATGCGCGGATCACATGACAGATTTGTCGTCACAGCTCACTTGCCGTGCAAAATAAAAATGCATTCTTGAGCTCCCCCCCCCCAAAAAAAATACAAAAGTCTATTTTTATACTTTTTGCATGGTGTAGTCTGGAAAGTACCCACATGGCAACTTTCAAGTTTGTTGCATGTCGGGAAGTACGCTAAACATTTTGAACAGACACATATTCACAACTTTGCCTTTTATATATATGGAGATATGTTGTCACTCATTTTATCCACGAAAGCATCGGTGAATCTCAAGACTGTTGCAAGAGGGGGACCAACAATTAAAACGATGTTCCATTTAAACAGCCATGACAGCAATTGTTGTATTTATCAGTCACAATACACAGGGTACAAAGCCGGTCCATAACTAAGGAACAAGTAGTTTACATAATTTACATAGAAAGATATACGTTTACGGTATGCCAAAGGAGAATTTTGCATGTAAAAGAAAACGGATGAAAATTAGAAACTGTGATAACAGATGTGTAATTTACAAAGTGAACAACACTGAAATGGATTTGGGCAGGACAACAGCTAAGACATCAGGTGACAGATGGGCACATTTAAAAATGGAATGAATGCCAATGGAGAGAAGGAGAAAGAGAGGTATGCAGAAAACATAATGGTGGGATGAGAATAGAGTATTTGAAGAACAAAGAACAAATGCTGCAAGAGATTGTGAAGAGTGTCCGACTTTGTAGGGAGGCCTTTGTCCTGCAGCCAGATGTTAATGGCAGGGATGTTACCGACAGTGGGATGTAAACGAAAGTGGGATGTGAATTAAAGTGGGGTGTTAATAGCAGTGCGATGTTAAAAAAAAAAGACGGTGAGTTGTGTACCTGCAAATGTGGCCAGGCTGCCTCCAGAGTGGGTTCATCCTCCTCGGGGTCAAACTCCGCTCCCGTCGGATTTGAAGACGGAGGCAATGTCCGAAACATGTTGACTGCAAACTGAAAACAGATGACAAATTAAACCAGTCTTTTTCTTAAACGATTGCACAATAATTTGAGACAATTAACAAATGTACCATGTCTTCCTGTGCGTCCGATTGGAGTCTTTTTGTTTACGTATAGGACATTCACATGATGTGCAAATAAATATATACCTTTGTGTACAGCAAAGCTTACTGCTGGATGAAGGCCTGCCTATGCATTTCAATCGTGGGAATTCTTTGGACATACTTCACCGCAAACTGGTCAGTGCAGATTGGTGAGGGGGTGCGCCTAGGACTGGTTCAGATGTTACTTGCCAATGGTGCGAGCCATGGCCGGGCTTTAAATTCAGGTCACCGAGTTCATAGCGCACCACCTAAACTTTAATACATAAGCAGAAATGTTCTGAAAACCCATGAATTCAAAAACAATAAAGTTTGAGATATTTCCAGTTGAGGAAATTACAAATGAGTTACATTTACAAAGAAGACATTTAATTGATAACAAAGCTGGCAAAAACAGATTAATAATTTTTCACAACTATAATAAAAAAAATGTTCAGATGTTATGACAACCAGTTTGTGCATGGTCACCTATTCAAACACAATCCAGGCTCAAAGAATGGACGAAATCAAGCACATTGTGGGTGATTTGGTCAATGACAATTGGCTCTCACTTGGTTGTAAATCAAGTTTACGTATATATGCATGTTAGTTAGACTGAGTGACCACCTGACTATTCAAACCACCACAAACAACAAAAGACAATCCCAGGTGAGTGCTTCACAAGGACACAAAGCGTTTGCAAATAATCGCACCTGCCGATTAATTTGCAAACGCCGTCATTCCGTCGCCGACTGATAACCGGTGGTGTCGCAAACCGGCACCGCCAATGGCACGGCACACGTACCACGTGCACCACCTCCGGGTAGATGGGCTCGGTGATGACACCACGGCTGTGCGTGATGTACTCCACCATCTCGTTCAGCGCCGCCCTCTTCACCTCCTTCCACTTGAGGTCACTGAGCGGGTCCGACACAAAGTCGAACAGCACGCAGCACTGCCGCAGCTTCTGCACAAACAGCTCCTCTCGCTCGCCGGGTGGCGCATCTGAAACACGAGACGGTGGGAGGAGGTGGGGGGGGGGGCAGCGCGTGATCGGTTACGCCGCACGGCCCTCCACCACGAGCCGCAGTCGCGTCTTTCTCGAGTTGGTCAACACACACGCACATGAGCACCCTTTTAACTTTGGCTCCATGTTGTAGCGATGCCTACGCCAAGCGGCGCTGATAAGGCACAACACAGGTTATGTTTCAGAACTACGGTATCTTTAATGTGCCTCTGCCGTTTACTTTTTATGAGCAACGTGCAATTGTCATAACGAAGTACATTTTTCTACTTAATCGTGAAGTATACGGCCATTTGTCAATTCACTGTTGACTGAAGGCCTCCCAACGTCTTGTCTGTCAAGTGGGTTGTTTGACCACACTTCACTATGCCGACCATTAAGGGGTGATAACTGTAGTGGCCCTGAACTGGTTCAGATAACACTCATCACTGATGATGGCTGTAGCTGGGAATCAAAACTCCGTAGGTTGCCAGGTTCATGGAAAAATGTACTTACTCTTGTACTGGCACTCAACAATGTCAATACATTAAACACGTAAATATGGTTTTGTCACTTGAGAACACTACACGTGCGCATGTGTAAGAGTAGAGTGGACTGTAAATGCATGACTTTCATCAGCACTTGTCCATCCATTGCTGGCTGTATACACGCACACACATACCTATAAATGTACACATAGCCCGGGTTACAATAATCCGCGTGAAGTCTATTTTTGCAGGTATTCAAGCACTGTATTTTCCATTCACTGCCCTGTGTAACATACGTCACAGTTGTGTTTCAACACCGAATTCCATTGAAGAAAAAAGGGGCACATTTTACTGTCGGTTAACATCCGCCGCACAGTATTCGATTACGCAGGACACATCTCCCGCAATTTCCTGTGCACAAACAAAAAGCTGCCTTTATGCGAAACGCTTGTGAAAAAGCCAAAACACAGGCACACAGCACAAACTACAGCAGCAGCACGTAACGCGTCCATGCTCTCCCCCTACCACTCGACGAGTCCACGCAGAAACAAACCCAAGTTGCCGTCACCATCCTACCTCTGATTTGCAGGCAAACGTAATGTTGATACGGATCGCTGCCGCTGTTGCTCAATTCGAACACCATCCTGAAATGCCGGTCGCCGTCAGCGGCCGTTCACGAATAATCACAAAAAAAAAAGAGGAGGCCCTCGCGCTCCTGCAGCGAAATAACACCACGGACGGTTCCACGGGGGCAGAGGACCGTTAGAGCAGCGCCAGCGTGCACTGTGCACAGGCTATCGCGCCGCGGGATCGAAGCAGAAACATCATGACGTCACCCGAGAACATCGACCTTTCTGACGCGGGTAGTGGGGGGGGGGGGGAAGCGGGGGCGGGACCAGCGCAAGAGCGCGCCGCCCCTCGCCCCAGTGGCCGCTGAGGAAACGAGCAGTTTGCGGCGAACGTGACGACGGAATAACGCTGCTGCCACGACTAATAAAATAAATAAGAAAAGGCATAACAATAACGAATCAGGAGGTAGGCCGCGGTTTCCGTAAGAAATGCCTTTTGTTTGCAATCAATAAGCAAGCCACCTCCACAGCGTAAATCCCAAGTTCACAGTCGCTTAGCCGGATATTTTCCGCTTCTTTCCTGCTTCCTCGCGTTTTTTCCCCCCCTCCCCTTCCGCGAGAGATGGTAATCATCGGGCCGGTCACCGTGGCAACAGTGATGTGCCGTTGAACTGCTCTGGTTGCTACGCAGCAGCGGCTGCTGACGTCACGCTCCAAATTTAGCCTCCTTGCAAAATCAATTCGGCTGCAGAAATATGGGATGGATGAAGAAAAAAAACAAATGCTCTGCTATAGTTGCGTTGCACTGTATGTCCTTTTTCATCTCTCCACCCCCCCTTCTCTGTGGAAACAGGGCCCTGGGCAAACAAAGGCATGCAGTTTAACACACAGGCCGAGGGGCGAATTTACAAAGGGGCTCGTTCGTGTCCTTCAGTCGCTCATTCAGAAGCCGCCGCATGATCCCCAACGCAGTGTCAATGGGATATTTCATGACGGCAGTGCGGTTCCCACATGCCAAGCGAGCGAGCCTATTCGCTCTCGGTGGAGAAATCGACCAACCCTGAAGAACTTGCCCGCTTCGCAGGGAGGCTCAACTGGTAAGAAATGGAGCATGATGCATAATACATTTTTTTTAAATGAGCAGACTTCTTGCATCAATTAACTCAAATTTTTGTTCTGTCCTACAAATCACAAAAGGTACAAAGTTTATTACACGTGGCCCATAAGCCAACAGCTATGTATATTAATTACAAGTCTCTAGTAGGACTACCAGGCTAGGACTACCACTGTCAGGGGCAATGTGTTCATTACAAGTAATGCCACTAATGGGTTCCTGTTAATGTGTATTTAAAAAAAACTGAAAAGACACCTACCTATAAAATGGCCATGATTAATTAACAAGGTGTTTCCAGCTTCTGGCTACCTTGTGCTACACTTTCATGGGAAATATATCGCTTTACCAAACTTCTTCTCGATCTCACGTTACTGCCGAACTCCAGCAGAAAGTTTCACTGGACTTGCTCATGTTCCAACAACTGAGAACCTGGACCACACATGAGTGTTCAAGGCATCAACATACAAATTCCTTTTTACAAAGGTATTCAGAAAACCTGTGGTGCAAGGTAGACCGAGGAGAATATCCAGTCTACAGGCAAAACACACAAACCCAAACTGTGACGACAGGCTTTCAAAGCAAAATGGAGACCGTAGAGTGTGACGACCTCTTTGCGCACTTTCAGCCATGGCAGATTGCAAAAACATCGCAAGTAAAATATGTCGTCACTTAAAAGGTTACTTCGATAACTACTAGAATGCCATGTTGAAATGAATATAGACGTACAACCCACGCCACAGGGAAAAAAAAACACATTTATTGCTGCATCGAAAAAGTAATTGTTGACAATGGGGGCCTGGTCCAATTGGGAAAACTACATCACCCTTGTCCGCGACACCTTGGACTTGTGGCGGGATTACTACTTATGATCCCCTGCCTGCCAAGGCGACAGTCATCCACATAGCCATCCATCAGCCGGGGTGACACACGGTGCAGGGCTGTCAATACATGTCCCCATTGTGTGAAAAAGCTCCTTGATTACATGACAATCGTTTCGACAAGTTACTAATTAGTATTGATAACCGTGCGGGACTTGCTCTGCCAATACCAATGACAACATCCACACGTCGTGCAGCTTTCACGTTAAACCATTTCTATATTTTTCGTTTTGTCTGACATTTGACAACAGAGTTAATTGTGGGCCTCTTGCAATATTACAAACATAAAAGTAGATGATCTCACAAACACCTAATTTTTGCAAGATAAAATCTTGCTTACCTGTGAGCAGTTTATGCATCATTTTTAATCGCTGAAATGCAATAAAATGCTCCTGTGGTTTAAAAAGATATCGCGAAAGCCATTGGTTCACAAGATATTATCAGAGGGGCAAGTGTACGTGAGAGAGAAACAGAAGCAGTCTAGAGTCTTAATTGGCAAATGAGCATTAATCTACATTGTGCATGCCGAACTGCTGAACAAAATAACGAAAACATCGGCATCAAAAACCTCCTTCACAAAAAGCGTAACATTATTTTGAAGTCAGGATGCCAGCCAATGTTATGAACTCAGTCGACTGTAATCCCAGTACCCCTCAAGGAACTTCAAGAGTGTAAAAACTACCGCACCATCTGTACGTGAAACCTAGGTTTTAAGGGGAGCATCAGGATGGAGAATTAAAGCCGTTGAATTTAGCGAACAAGACTGATGACTCTCTCTCTCACTGCTTAAATTGGATTCCACGAGCCGCTTTTTATCAGTGGAAACGAGACGGAAGTCAACATGGTTTGACGGTGTGGCTAGAAACAGCAGGTCTAGCCAACACAATACTGCAAGGGCAATTGAAAGAACAAGAGCTGACACCTACCGAGAGGCGACATGGCTCAAAAAGACTCTCATCTTGACGAGGAACTGACATGCAGACTTTGCCAAAATACTAAAGGCCATCTGAAGTGGAAGATGACAATTAGTGCCTTATAAATTCAGTCCCCTCTTATCAAATTTTTCCAGGGATACGTTACGCTTACATACCAGATGCGGGAATGTTAAGGACCTTAGAGACGTACACTAAACATACAAAACAGCTCCTCATCTTGGAGACGCACAACAAAGATGTGCTCTGGGTTGTCCTACACTAGTCTGCAGCTTTATAAAACAAAAAACAAGACTTTAAGAAAATACAAGTGCAGCAGTGTCGTGACGTATTATAATGCATGACAGCTTGAAGAGTACTTTCATAATTATAAACATGTGTGAGGTGCATTTCATCCGATGATCCCAATGCGCCGTGTATGGAAAGCAGGAAATAAAACAACCAGTGTAAATGGCAATAACTAGAGGGGTAAAGGCCAGTTTAAAGAGGTGAGTTTTCAGAATAAACTTAAATAGCTCGAAGGACTCTGATTGCCTTATTACAAATGACGAAGTGTTTCGTCGTCTGGAAGCTGCACTGGCAAAAGCCCCGTCACCCAAGGAAGAGCCTTGATCACGGAGGAGTACTTACAAGGTGATCCGAAAATCTCAGGGACATAAAAATGGATCAGTTCCTGCAAATATTGTGGAGCTAAGCTATTGAGAGCCTTGTAGGTCAGCAGCAGGATCTTATTATCCACTCAATACTTTACTGAAAGCCAATGCAGAGACAAGAGAACAGGTGTAATGTGCTCGCGAAACTGTGTGCACGTAGCAGCTGCATTCTGACCAAGCTGGAGTCTACCAAGCACCTTACTCAGAATCCCAAAGCGGAATGCGTTGCAGTAATAAAGTCGGGAGAACTCAAAAGCATGGACCAGTCTCTTCAAGTCATTAGGTGACAGGAATCAACACAACCGGGCAATATTTCTAAGGTGGAAGACTGGAGTTCCAGCCACGTTCTAACCACCCGAGATACATGTGCCTCATGTACATGTTTCATCATTAACATCTTTCATCGTTAACGGAGATTCAAACTCGTGTTGGACAGCCCGGGATGCACAATCTGGTGTTGTAGCTACTGGAGAAGAGATTTGTTTTTTTGCTGGGTTCTTTAATTTTTTAACTTTCATGTCTATTGTCCAAAGACAGCAGAAGGCAATGCAGCAACATCTATTGTTGTAATATACATGTCTATGCCCTTACATCTATGCTTCCCACCTTCATGAATCCAAACTGACCAGCGCATTGATTATATGGTCAAACAACCTCTGCAATCCGTGCGGCAAGGAGGAGGCCCTCATCCAGCTGCGGATTAACAAAAGGGCTATAGATGTATATCCTACCAGACATGCTGTGCCGGTCAAATCCAGGACAAGTAGCGAGCAAAGCTTCAAGAAACCATGCTAAACAAAAAAAACCCATTAAAGCGACTTTTATCATGACAGCACAACTTGAATGAAACACTGTTCCAGGCATAAATGCACGGCATATGGATTGAAAATTGACAATAAAGCACTTTGTTTAACACCACAGGATGGACTCGGCAATACTTCACGCTTGCAGAAACGTCAGTGAAAAAAGAAATTATGATTACAAGCGTCACAAAATCTAAGCCGAAGCCTTGTGCTCCTCGCACCGGATCACGTTGCTGAAACTTGGCTACAAGATGACCCCGTATATTGATTAAGAATATCCTAAATGCTACAGTAACCAATACAGCACTTTCCTTTAAGACATTTGTGTCTAATGCAGCTGCTTGAACCCAGAGGCCTGGGCAAAACAACGGGCATTTAAAATACGATGGGTACATATAAATTCACTTTTCCCATCGCTGTGGAACACCTACGTAATCAATGCTCCATGTGACCCTACTGTGTACGTGTACGAGGACAGGCATTCATTACAAAAGGCAACATGGTTTTTTTTAAAGAGCACTCATCATTAAGCACACAATAACAACCCACTCACATTAAACCTGACACCGGGAGGCACTCAGCTGCCTGGCTGTGGTGCACGCCAGATGGCCTGTGGTGCTGCAACATCCAGGGAACATTTGCAGCATTATAGAAAGCACTTCATGCGTTCACTTCTAAGGTCTCACGTCAGTGTACCAGCACTGTATCTCTTAAAAAATGACCAGCATCTACCAAGAAATCACCATTGTTAAGCACATACACACTTTCTGCAAGCCAATTACTATAGGAACGATTCACGAGGCTAAATTAACTTCAGGGATATAATAGGGTTTTCCCCCTTTTTTTCTGGCAACAAAACTGAAACCTTATTACAAGGATTCATGTCTGCATTAACCACAATACTTGCAGTCAAAATGCAAACAAAAAACATACTATGATAATATATGCATTGTCCTTGAAACTGATTGGTCCACACCAAGGGAGGGCTTTCTTTTGGATTCTGGCTTAGCAAACATTGGAAGGAATTGATAAACCATTTCAGGTCTTAATTGATTGAGCACGCTTAAGGTGGCTTTCGGACCGCATCCATTATTTTTCGTCTCCCCCCTCCTCTTTTTCGAACATAGATGGACTCGTCAATCTGAACAAACTGTCAAATCGCTCGCCGTGGTGCTAACGTTAAAAAAACGCCACTTTTTTCAAATCTTCTTACTGTGGTTTTCACACCTGATGATGATTGCTTGTGTTGTAGTCGAAACGTCGTGAGAATTTTGTTTTATATTTTTATTATTTTATTGTTTACCTTCTACGTGACTTTACCGAAAGAACCAATAATATGTATAAAGTTTTCTTAAATGGATAGTCAACAGGTTGGTATATATACTTTATAAAAGCAGTTGAAACTGTTTTATTTATCAAGTAAGCCTGCTGAACTATTAATTATTTTTCAGAGGTGACCTGGCCACACATGATAGATCAA